AGGTGTTATACCAAACGGTGATGAAACTTGTTGATGTATGCGATCAGAACTACCTTTAAGTATTTAGCACTATGGTAGAAAATTCAGCCACCACAAAATATCAGCTAGATGTATCCATACTTTTGGTACTGACTGATTACTTTAATACTGTAGTGGCTGCGCTTCGGTAACTAATCACCCTCGTACCGCTACCATATAATCTTCGACAGTGTTTGAAATCAGAAGGCAAAAAGAAGCAGCTACTACAGTTTATTTAGTAGATAATTCGGACCAGACAGCAGAGAGGCAAAATGAATGAGCAAGCGAACTACGATTGTAGCAGTAGCAGCAGCAGTAGTAGTGGTGTAAATGTATGTATATATATATATATGGGAAGATGGATGAGTCATCGAATAGATTAAGCAGCTAATAATGAAGCTAGCAGAATGAATATATGCGTAGGCGCTAAACAATGTTCAAGCGTACGTATTTCATACAGGCGCAATAATAATAACAGTACAAGTTGTTATAGCATGGATGACTATGTCATTAAATAGGTTAACAAAAGACCTTGACTGAGCTAAATGAGGATAAACTCAATTGCACGTGAGTCGCCATAATACCACAATTCCGCTAATCTTACAATATAGCTTCCTCTACTTACAACAAATAATTCCACAGCCATGAAAAATAACTTTAAAAGTTTGAAAATATATATAGACTTTCAGTATTGGGTCATAAATCCCTTTTGAGGTATCACCCATGTTAAGTGAGATCGCACAAATGAGTAATTCTAACGTTGAGTGAAGGGTGGTAGTTAGAGATCGTCAGTTAGTTTATGAGGCTGTAAACTTTCACTGGCTAGTACGTTCTGAAGTTATTATACTTATGCTCAGCCACAGTCTATGCAGCCGCGCAACGCTGGACAGTATACTGGCAAGATTACAGGAAACTAGAGGAAGTTGAAGTGAAACATGAAATTGCTTCATGAAGGCATTAAATATTGGACTGACACTTGTTGACTGGAACAAACTAGACATAATCTTCAGTTAACGATCTTATATGACCTTTTTCTTAGTCAGTTGCAATAGCTTGTAGATATCTTCCTCGAGATCTCAAGTTCAGATATTATTTCTTAATTTTTATTCACCTATTTCATTCGTTCTCTCCAAATAATATTCCTTTTGTTTACTTTTATTATCATCGTTACTTTTACATTTCGTCTTGTTAATCTTCTCTCTCTGTTGATGTAGTGTGTGATGACTTGAAACGATGAATAATAGTTCCAGGTTCCATGTTGTTTATCAATGAGTGAACGACGGAGTGGATATTCGCACGAAAGCTATACCGTTTACAGAACACAGTTGAATTCTCGTCAAATATATATATATATATATATATATATATATATATATATATATATATATATATATATATATATATATATATATATCATTATAAGCTTTTATTTGACTTATTGACTATTATCAGAAGGGGTTTCGTGGAGATTTTAGTAATTTAAATAGTTGAGATCATGAGTCATTTGAAGCTAGACCATCATGGAAAACCTGGAAGCACTGGATGGCCGTTTCGTCCTAGTATGGGACTCCTCAGCAATGCTCATCCACGATCCCGCCCCTGCGGTATTCGAACCCAGGACCTATCAGTCTCGCGCACGAGCGTTTAACTATTATCATGCGATTTACTATTCTTGAGATATGCCCAATTTGTTAGTATCAGTCTCTCACAATCACAGCCACGTTTTAGCTTGTTATTGTTTAACTGTTATTTTCTATTTATCGTATGATGCAGTCTGGTTTGTTTGTACATAAACCTAGTATGTCTGAAATATTTGATTCGTTTTGCGGACGTTGATATTGGCGTTCTGGTCTGAACTGTCTGGGTTGGAAGAAAAGCTGCTATTTCAGAGGACCAGTAGGAACTTTAAGCTGCTACAGATTTATGAGTCTGTAGCGTGGCGTCGAGTTGGGATTAACTATGAACACCGCTACAAAGAAACACGTGCCAAATGAATCAGAAGGCGTAGGTTGGACGTAACCAAATAAATCCATAAAATCCCCGAGAAGCCAAATATCAGAAGGCAATTAATGGACCAAGTCGAGGTGTATATTTGCTGGCGATCTCGTGGCATCGAAAGGATACCGAGATCGTGCCAGGATACAACCTTGGTTACAGAAGGTAACCGAAGTTACAATCGAAGTGTAAGTAAAAGAATGGAAGCACAAAATAGCTGTCATTAGCACAGTCAAACAAAAGCACGTTAAAACAAACACTGGTACAGTTGGTTATAATAATAATTGTTTTTATTAAACCAGTCGTGTTCTCGTGATAAATGTGAGTCACTACAAGTCATTAGTTTGGTCGTACAGGTTGTTGTCTCTAATTGATGGTCACATCACGTGATACAATAATAAATCCTTTTTTGGTGAATATAAGTAAGCGATTTGCTTCACCTACAATTTTGACTACTAATACTGGCAAAGTGAAATTCGTACTCTTTATTGTTGTGACGGTAAAATATATTTTCATTTCAAGGATACAGTGCGCCAATAGGATAATACCTTAAATAGATACACTAGATAAAGACTGGGTCATGTCATATCCAAATGCAGTATTCACAATCATAAATCAAGACCCCGATAAAAGCCAGACAGTATATTATTTAACGCAATGTATCTCAGTCGACAAACAGAACACAGTCTGTGGTGAAATCCGAGTTATAATACAAACGTATAAATTTGTACTAAGAATTATAGAGTGAACATATTTCTCTGACATGTTAGTCAATTATCGTTCATATCATTTATCTATTTGTTGTAACGGGTGGACTGCAGGTTAGATGCGCAGCGTTTTATCGACCGGATTAGTGACACGTAAAACACGTAATGAACGATCTAGAGTCCCGATTGGTCCTGCTTCGCTGTCTAGCCCAGCCAGTTGAGTCCAGAACACAAGTCACAGCCTCTGAGATATGAATCGTTATATTTTAAACATACTCTGTTTATATACCAACCAAACAGACCACATTGTACCATAAAAATAGAAAACAACATTTACACAATATTTAACAAGTGAAATAAATACCGACCAATAGGGAGTGTACATTTAACGTACAAGGACACCACTAGACTTGACACGATAATTATTGGTATATTCCTCTGCATACCTAACACTATTGACCATGTTTTCGCATTTGAAACTTGACAAATCTTTTTATCTCGGGTGAATATTTCTCGTAGAAATGAAACGCCATTTCTCTATTCAGTCATTTGGCTGATGTTTATACATTTTGAACCCTGGTCAGTTCGAAATTCAGAATTCGTTCGGTGAGCAAATTATTGATTTTTGGCTTTTAAGCTACTTCGATACTTGCATCATTCGGTCGTGCCTTCACTTCAGTGACTAAATACTTAGCTCGTCTCAGGTGAATTCTTGGGATTATTCGTCATAATGCATTAGTAAACCTTGACTGCATCTCACCTGTCGATTCATGAAATGTCTCATTATTAGTACTTGGGGTTCTCGCAAATTCTTGAAGCTCCATAGTTACTGAAAGGAAGTTGGAAATAAAACTGCAATTTTTCGTAAAATCAATGCTTTTTATGAAAAAATATTAGGGGTATGATCTACTAGTTCCCTTAAACATATTTACTTCTAACAGACTACCTGAATTGTGCAAAATGTTTGAAACAAAGACTAACGAGAATATCCTCCAGTTCTTAGCCATATGAATCGGTTTATTGATTAGGAATAAAAATACCTATCTCCTAACAAAATCTACTACGGTGGTTAATATACTGAAACGTCAACACGTATCACCCTATGAAACACCGCTTGTGCATCTTGACCTTCACCTTCACATGCATTTTTGTACATATCTAGGTCTCCAAGTGAAATGTTGCCAGCAACGAAAAGTAATGCTTTCAAAAACAATTCGATTGAATCAGAGGTAATGAGTAATTTGCTCTCTCGAGCTCCAATTATGGGATACATTTACTAGTATGTACCTATCATACTTAAAACCTAACAAAAATTTCATATCACAAATTATTTTATGGACTCACATGAATTCAATAGCTAACCTGAACGATGGACCTTGATATGATGACGAAACTATCTAAACTGTCTCGTATATATACATTATTTTAGCGCCAGAGATATCAATTATATGTGTAAGTATTATTTCTTATAATTACCAAAAGTGAAAATGTCAGAATTCACCTGTGGAATTGAAGACTAATACCAAAAGCTTATAGCGACTATGTTGAGGAAGCATGCTTCCTGACGTATAAAGCTAAAACTGTTAGATAAAATTTTCACATCGGTATTACCCTAAAGAAAAAAAAACCAAAGTAAACATTACAACAGAAAATTATTCATAGCTAAAGTAAAAAATAACGAAATCAACTTTATATTCACCTTCATAAACTGTCCTATTTACTTTTCGAAAAACTTCAGAACACTATTATTATTATTATTATTATTATTATTATTACTAACTTAATCATTTATAAAACTGGTTAGTAAATCAATCATAGAATTCTAGCAAGTATTCGTTGTTACTATTTCAAGAAATTGGTAAGATTTTTGAGAAAATAATATATTGAGAAAATGCAATTTCTACACATCATACTATATGCATAACGCCTGATGTTCGTTCCATTCGTGAAGTGATGTTTGATTTATTCTCTGATCAGTTTAGTATACAGTAATGTGTTGCCAACTCAAATCATCTAACCTTTGATCTGAAATTCAATATTTTCATTTCTTCGTTTTTAATCCGAAACAAAATGAAGATATATGTTTAATTTCGATCTTCACCAGTTACATTCATTCTGTGTAATCATTGTCACAAAGTTGCTAACCATATTTTAGAACATGAGCAATCTAATTGGGCAGACCTTCTTATGTGTTCTATATTTAAATCGGATTGGATATATTCTAACTACTGAAAAGCTTAATTATTGGTGTTCTAAATTTACTAGTAACACATATTCATAAATTAATGAAACTTACTGAGACGAAGGTTTATTCAAATAATTTCACTATGGAACCTGTCAAAGACTTCCCTAGAATCACCTCAGTAGTTAGACTCAAAGTTATGATAATCTTGGCAGTCTCAACTGTTACATTTGGAATTTGGTACATGTGGGGTCTTAGCCTAAACGAAATAGGTCAGTATATTTCAAACTACCAAAACCTAGCAATATGGAATATGGTTAAACAGCCTGTTTATTATCCGAACTTCAAAGTTTTCAGAAAGTGAGAAATGTCCATTCTTGTATACATGATGCTTTTTCAGTGACGTAATGATTGGGCGTCTTCTGTTAAATAAAACCAAGGTTAGTCTTATCTTATTTCTGATCTGATTATTTTTTATTTTCGTTTAATGAGGGTGCTCATGATAACATGTCTGGAGGTAACCTACTTAATTATTATGTTGTTTTACATATAATAAAGTTCGTTGTTTAGACCCTTTTGATGCACTTTTCTTCTCAGTCTCATACCCAAATCAGAAAACCATAAAAGTATGGTGTAGGGACGGAACGGACGACTTTTAGGTTTATTAGCTAGATTCAAATATCACGTATAACGAGCAGTAGATAATTCTCTCTAGCGTTAGAACTTTTAAAAGAAAAAGAAAACTTTTTGCTGCAATCACAGAGTAAAATTGTTACTACCAGATGTGTCAAATGCTTAACTCTTTCTCTGTAGACAAATCAACACTGTCCTTGATTCCTAACCCCGTATCTTAGTTCTGGAACAAATATAAACCTGGGAGTATTATATTTTATGGATGAACTAATCAAATAGCATCTCTTCTACTCTTACAGTAAAAATCATTTGTAAATAAAACTACAAAGCATTTTGTACCACATCTGACATGGGAACAGAATATGAACTCTTAAAATTCAGTTTGAGTCCTTATAAGGGTCGGAGGAAACGAGTCCCGGAGTGAAAATCAATCCTGAGATACAGGTACATCCAGACGACGAGTCCCAAATGGGAAGAAACGCGCGTCGTGGATTCCATTGTTAGTCACTATACATCTTTGCTTAAAAAGCTTATGACTTAAGGCTATATCGAGACAATCTCACAGGATGAACACATGCCAACAGGAGACTGATTAATTGCAGTCCTAAATAACAATGGGAAGATACAAATAAAACAACACCAAGGGAATTTATTTTCTGAATGGATAGAAACTGACTGAAAATTCATCATGGTATTTTAAGCTTGTTCCTGTTCATCCAGAAAACAAATAACATTAACGTTCTTCACATTTGCCAAACCAAAAATATCAACAGTTCTTCTTCCATCTCCCTATTCAGATATTGTTTTACTAACATATTTAATCAGGTGGTTTCATCAACGATATGAGTAGCCCAAAATCAGAACTAATGACGGCGCAAAAATGTGCAAAATAACGATGAAATTGTCATGAACAATTCATATTTATATCTAATACAAAACACTTCGGTCAGAACAGATAGAGACTTAATTTTCACAGTTTTCTGGTAGATGCTGTCAATTCACGTATATGAAACAAATCGTATATCTATTTCACGTTATTGAACTGATTAGATTTTATTTTCGTGTTGTGCTCTCTTACAAATCATTCTTGTTTTATTTTTCTCATCAAACTTGAGTCACCTTCAACTTTTTCAACTAGTTGTGTTATGTTTATATTAAATCGATATATACTCCGATTGACCATGTTTTATATCGTTTCATGAGAATTCTAATATATTGTTGATAGTATTATAACTCGTACTAAATAACTGACATTATGTGAACTAAATTATTTCGATTGTATTAGAGATTATTTTTAGGTTAGTAGTGACTATCTTGTTTGCATGTAAACCTGTCATAATCGAAAGCACGTTTAATCGAAATAAACAGAACGGAGCATTATTGTTTCGGTTCGCTCGTGATAATTAGTTGGTTTGTTTTCACCAATGACTGACATTCTTTTTCATGAAGTAGCCTAATTAGAATACATAAAAGTCTTGTTATAACTTGTATCCATTTTCCCTATTAATATATAATGTAATGATACCGCCAATTAGAGAATAGTGACTTATCTACCTGACCAATGACGCATAAAGCCCGTACGAGCAGTCTAGAATCATTATCGGTCCTTCTTCCTGCTTAGCTCTGCCTATTGATTCCAGAATATCAAACCCAGCCTCCGCGATGTGAATCATGTATTTTAAACATACTATGTTTACACGCAAACCAAACAGACCACATCACACCACAAAATGGAAAACAACGTTTGTACAAGATCTAGCCAAAATTGGCTGTGAATGTGGGGAACTGTAATTAATAGACTGGGCAGAACTCAAGAACGGTAAATCGTATAATAATCGTCTATAGGTAAAAATGAAGCTTATAATAAGAGAAACATGAACATGCATAGTTTAGCTGCCTAACGACTATACAATTGAAATACATGTATCTTATTGGTCCATAAGTAGTTTTAAAAGTTACCATTCATAATTCTCGTCGGGATATAACAAGTATGCCAAATGTTGTACACATTTTGAGTAATATATTAATGACATTTTGTCTGAGCTTCGAAATTATCTCAAAATGCTTTTTTTAGAAACATGAAATTATCATCTACGGGCGGATGTTGGCAGATATGAACAAAGATGTAACAAATTGTCCAGTGAACAATTGTGTTATTCATACTGATACAACTCGTTGGATTCAAAGTGATCTTATTTTAATTCCAAACAGACAATTTCCTTCCGGAAAGCGTCCACATCAACAGGCTTGGGTGGCATTTGAGTATGAATCAGCACTCCATACTCGACTTAGTGATGAACTTAATGATAAAGTGAGTTTAACAGTCTCGAATATTCAATCAAATAAGGTTAAGTTTATTCAAATAATTATGGGTAAATAATGCTTTTTCCTTACAATTTGAAAGAACAAAGTAGTGTAATAATATTCTTTTTTGTCTCCGTCTATTTAACTACCATATTTCATAATCTAGATTTATCTGAAGTTTGCACATAGGTAAATGAAAGCATGTATGCAATCAACAATTAATTCGTAGAGTTCGCCGCTAACTGAGGCCAGTACAAAAAACGCATATGATTTTAAAGTAACTTGAAGAATTTTTTCGTCGATAGTTGTTGTGTGTAAACCTTTCCGAGTAAATCAATAAAAATAAATTTGTATTTGTGTCTTGTTGAGTTTTCTACCAGTTGATTTCTCTATGCTTTGCGTTGTGTTGTACATAATAGTGACGACTAATATATTTGGCCTAATTATTTCAAAATGTTTTAAATGTTGGTATCGACTCATGGTTTACTTTTACACATTTACAGTGAAAGAATTCACTTGTATTTAAAATGGATATAGGATCTTTTAAATATCTAGCAGGATTTTTAAAAAATTCGTCCGATAGAAACATTCATTTTATTTATTGTATATTTCTCAGATTAACTTCACTGCATCATATCGATTTGATTCAACTATTCGCACACCTTATGGAATGTATACACCGAATGAACCTAAAACAGACGACATCAATAAAACAATCCATTCGACAAAATTGGAGAATATAGCGAAAGGAAAAGACAGAGCTGTTGCCTGGATAGTGAGTAACTGTTATCCTAGGAGTCCAAGAAATGTTTATGCAAATGAACTGGCTAAATATATTACAGTAAGTTGATTATATCAAATGATTCAATCAGTTGTTCAATATCAATTGTCTGATAATTATTCACAGTACCAAACATAAGTATTTCTGATTGAGATCATGAACCGATTGATGTTAAACCGCCATTAAGAACCTGGGAGTACTGGATGGCCGTTTCGTCCCACTGTGGGACTCCTCAGCACTGCACATCCACGATCCCGCTAGCGGGATTCGAACCCGGGGCCTTCAGTCTCGCGCGCGAACGCCTAACCTATTGGACCACTGAATCGACACCCAGTGGTGTTAATGTCTAACCTCAACCAATCCACGAAGTTGCGTGAATTTTTTTTCTGATATCTAGCTGATATCTAGCGTATTCATCTTATTTCTCATAGTTATCTAGAGAAAATAATTAATTTTATTTATTTTCGACTTTATAAATAAGTAAAGTTTGCAATGTCATTTACAAATTCAGATAATGATTTGGCTAGACTACGCACTTACAAAATATTTGCCGTTGACATAACGTGAAAAAAAAATAACGCGCACTTCCCAAGCACAATAACCGATTTACATGACTGCTTACACAGACAAGTATATTTTGTCATGATTACAAACTGCACAACTACAAAGAATGTACAGGTAAAAACAGTTTACGCTTATAATGGATTAGCAAAATAACTCAATTACAATCTAACGTTTTATTAACGAAACCCTTTTTAAAGCGAAACTAAACAACACTTCTGAATTAAGAATTATTGTTTACAAAATAACCCAATCATAAATATTATTTGCTTCTTTCTCAGAAATTATTACATTTTTGGGATAGCGTAAAAGTTGCTTCATTTACCGATCCTTAATGGTTAGTGTGAATAATACATGTCCTATTCATTATTTACCATGATGATTTATTGATACGTTGAATACGATGTGTTAGGAAAAAACTAATGGAAATACTTAGGTGATAATTGGTTTACTAATTGTGTATTAAACAGTTGACTACCTTTCAACTTTAGTAATCACTATCAAATATTAGAACCAGTTATTAGTTCTGCCCAAATTTTCTTTTAATGATATACATATAATTTCTCTTGTGATGATAACTAACGAATTCAGTTCCATTTCTACTTGATCGAAAAAAACTTTATCCCGATATACATTCACATTCATTCTCACGCCCAATCAAATCCCTTGATGATATTTGAATTTGAACTAATCAGTTTACAAAGATGCACAGTTTATATGATGTTGAAGCACTCTCTAACTCTAAAACCTTTGTAAACAACGTTGTCAGTTCCTTAACCAGACGGTCATTACCATCGTTAAAAAGGGCCGAAGGTGAGTCAACTGGGTCCGGTGATTTTGTTGCGCTTCAAGAGTTGGAGTTTCTTGCGGACTTCCGCCTCATTTGGTGGATTAGTTGTCACCGGCCATGGAGGGCAGGACAGTCTGACTGATGTTGCCGGAGCAGCAGGCCAGTTGAACTGCCATCCGAACAACTCTGCCCATCGTTCAAGACGTCGATAGATGTTAGTGATTGGCATCCCGTCATTCTCACAGACTGTTTCGCCCACGCTAGACTTCTTGCTGCCAGTGGCTCGGATGAGTTGGAAGAGCTTCTGGTAGTTACCAGATGCAGCTGTTGCTTCTAGCTCATTAGAACGTTCCGACCACCAGACTTCTCTATCCTTACGCAAGCTTTGTCCAATTTCATTACGCAACAGTCGTCGTTTGTGGTCAAACTCACGGGCACTCGGAGTAGACCGACGGGCTTCAATGAGTTGTAAGGAGCCTGAAGAAACCCAGTGCTTATAAGCGGGATATTTCGCGAAGCCTCAAGCGGCTTTACTCGCCATTTTGATGGCGTCATGCAATTGCAACCAATGCTCATCTATACTTTTCGGTGGGATGGTAGCTGTCCTTGAACCTAGCTTTGTTTGATATTTAGTTGCAACAGAAGCTGCAACTAATTTACTGACATCAATCCATTCAGGATGATGAGTTTGTTGGCCACTGAGAAGTAAGGTAAGCGTCCCCGGATAAACTCACGCGGAACAATCTTTTCGAAGCGACGGATGAAGAGAAAATTTCTAGTACTTCACTAGTCTTGAATACGGGTCTCAGATAGACAACAAGCGTCAATATTTAGACTTTCTAAAGACATTGGTGCGCGAGATTTGAAGGAAGCCAGTTTGGGTGGTATGCTTGGTTTCAGGAGGACTGTTTCAGTATTCGTATTCGGTGCTAGCATTCTACTTTCGGTCAGTCAGTGACTCGAGATCGTTTAGATAGAACATGGATTCCGCCATAGGCAAGCCGCTGTACAAGTTGAGAAATAAGGGTACATAAAGTGAAAATAGAAGTGAGTAGACAAGTGATGTGGTATATAAAGAAATAAAAATGAATGTGGATTGTCTGAATTTTAATTTAGGCGAGAATAGTATTTCCAGTAATTACTGTCCTTTCATTTTATTTGTGTGTGGGCTGTGATACTGCCTGGTTGCCAAGACCTAAACAGGTGGTTTTATTAGGGGGCCACACCCGGAGCCTTCGACTCAAAGATTTGATTTACAAGACAGTGGGGGAACTTTAGGAGATGCAGTCCCATGGTAGCCGGTGACAAACAATAGGTCCATACGCCATTTGTTCCCTCAAGATCCTGGAGCCCATGTGCACCATCGGTTTGGAATCAGGATTTTCCATCTCCCCTAGGTGGATCCTCCATATCTACCAACCCAGTTAAAGCGCCGGACATTCGCTTTTCGTCCTCTCAATTTCTTAAACAAAACCTGTTAGCGGGACATAGACCGGACTAAAGCATGCTCAATTCACGATTACTTTGGTGCACGCTGATTGGCTAATTCTTATCCAATCAGCACTAGTCGATAGTTGGAGAATACTCTAGAATCTTCTTATGTAAAAACTATAAATATACTGACGTTTTCGCTATTGTGCTTCTGACTTGCTTCTTGCTTCCATCTAACCTTGTTATTTGGAATATAATCTCTTCCTGTTCAACCGTGTTTTGATTTGGGGTCTTGTCGAGTGAATCGGTGTCCGAGAATACTAAGCAATAGGAATAGCTGGGTCATAACCGTAAGAAAAGAGATATATAACAACACCCCTGCCGCGAGAAGGCATTGAGTAGGACTTCCCTTGCAGTGGTTGTATGTACGTGGCCATGTGAAAGCATTTGGATAGTGAGAACTGACTAATTACTTGTTAACGAATAATGGCCCTGTCATTGCTAGTTGAATACCATTCTTTTTCTTCAGGCTGTTCCTGTTCGCTCATATATACAGGACTTCTGCTCTCAATCTTTCTTTATGTGTTAAAACCTTTCTGAAATATTTTGGTCCCTTCAAAATTGATCTCGTGTCGTGTTTCCAACGCGTGTAACGCTATCGCCGACCTATTCTCAAGTTTCTTAAGATCAACCAAGAATTCGGTAACATTTTTCACACATTATTTGTGTTCCTTTAACCTCACATTCAATTGTATTGAAGTTTCGCCTACATATGCTGCATTACAGTCATGACAGTTCATATCATACATTTGGATTATGAAAAAATTAAAGGATGTTTTATGGTAAACCATGACGACTGACCAATAATGAAATAATTGTTTTTAATTAGTGTTTGATTAAAATAAATCATAAAAAATCGCTAGTGTAGTTGATGGTCATCTCTGGGTCTTAAAAAGGTCATTACAAGATTATTGGAGTTACAATATCTATTAACACAACTAACATCTTCTACTATTGAGATTAGTTTATTCTTCTTAATTTTGTAACAGATTTTATTTTATTTTAGATATTCGAACAGCTGAAATCGTGTAACTTTAAAATCTTTTAATATTTCTTTTTATCAGAAAACGTACATGAATTTCTCAAGTTTCTTTATTAGATTATCTGGGAAATGTACGTATTTTGTGTTCCAGTGAACGAAGCAGTTCTGAACACCTAAAATTCTATTGTTTGTAAACAAGCTTCAGTGATTGGAATTTGTCTTTTTACCATAATGTTTTTAACTTTAGGTTGATGTGTATGGTCGATGTGGTCGGATGACCTGCTCTGGTTCGCAATGTTTTGATTTGGTACGGAAACATTACAAGTTTTACCTGAGTTTTGAAAATTCACTATGTCAAGATTATATAACAGAAAAGTTCTTCTTCAACGCACTAATGTAAGTAACGGTTCATTGAAATCACGTCAAAATAATTTGTATGCTGTTTTTTTAACTGTAAGTTATCGATTTCAAACACCACTGAAGATGACACAGGTATTTGGAGTTTGACAATGCTTTAACCAGTAACACCTTCTACTAGGAATCGTACCCACCAAGTGAAATCAAAGGTCGGAAGCGATGAGGTTCGAAGATATATTTAATAATAGAAAAACCATACTATAATATCCAATTTGCAAGATGTTCAATAATTGTCTCGGACTTCATTGTTCTTGTATTTTTATACTATGTGCTTTCTATTACCGTTCTTTTTCTCTCGATCTTCCCAATCTTCTGGTGCCAGCCATTACATTCCTGACTCGCGTTGTATACTACTTAAGTCAATATAAGTAGCACGCACCACAAGTATCCAACGTCGAAGATTTACAGAGCAATTGATTTTGGGGATTTATTCACCATTACATTACGTAAAAATGATTATTACATCATGGACACAGTTTCCCAACCATCGTTGTTGTTGCTACCTTGACGTGGTGGTCGGGCTTGCCCATCGTGATGAACCAACCGAGCTATATTGGCTGGAACAATCGTTCCTCAAGGTCCTACCATGCCAGACAGGTCGGTTGAAGAGCGGTAGTACTAGAAGTAGCAAACCCAAAGTCTGAGGGCGATGTCGTACTGCTGACTGTACAGAGGTGTGACAGCAGTAAGGTTTTTTCTTCAGACAACCAGCATGACGGCGATGCTGCCTTGCCACAAGGACGGGTGGAGTTAGGAAAGGTTGACCCTAAAAATGCACACCTCGCCTTATCTCACGGATATCCGTCTCCGGCGGTAAGGTCTCAACAAGTACAGAGCTAACAAGAAAATTACCCATGAAAAGGTCGTGTGTGACCGACCTCAAGAAGTTATCCCTTGGTCACTGCGATCACGCTCTCAGGTCACTATGACCACCTTCAATGCAATTTGCCTTCAAGTACCTCCAGAAGAACCCTTCCACGGTGTGGACAACCGGGAATCGATACCCGCCCTCATACTTCCAACAGCACTCAAGACCATTGTGTTTATAATCAACCTCCCTCTCCGATTTCTATCATTCCTCCTAAATCGACCTTCAACTCTAGACTTCATCTTTTGGCCTCCTCCTCAAGTGTCAGCATAGCCAATGATTCTAGTGCTCAAAACACTCCCAGGTCTACTGAAATCTCGCTCCAAACTACACATTGGAGCCTTCAACGTACGCACCCTATGTCAAATTGGTCATAAGGCCTCCTTATCTAAGTCTCTAGAATTTTGTATCATTGATGTAGGCTATGTCTCTGAAACGCGCATACAGGATCCCAGTGCGGTCACTCACTTGACCTCACATCGGTAAAACGGAGAGACAACGAGATACACCTTACGTGTATCTGGCGACCCGATGCCTAGTTCTCGTGGGCTGACAGGTGTAGGTATAGCACTGAGCATGACGGCGGAACAAGCATTATTGGAGTGGATCCCCGTTAACAGTCGTCTATGTGCTGTTCGGCTAAACGGTTCCGTAAGAACTCGGGAGTATAGGGATACGCGTCGTTGCATTTCCGTCATTTCTGTCTACACTCCCACTGACTGCAGTCCGAATGGAGTGAAAGATGACTTTTACAGAAAGCTCTCTGGACCTCGTCAGAAAGCTAAACGTTCAGATATAGTACTCGTAGCAGGTGACTTTAATGCCCAAGTAGGTAGTTTAAACAAAACAGAACGACATTTAGGTGGATGTTTTGGTATTCCGGCACAACGAACAGATAATGGTGATCGTCTGCTGCAACTGTGCTCAGACAACCATTTATTTTTAGCAAACACAAATTTTAAGCATAAGGAGAGACATCGTCTAATATGGTGACCCTCTGTACCAAACGAACGATGGACTCAAATACACCATATTGCCATCAGTCATCGTTGGAGAGGGTCGATAGAAGATTGTCGCTCATTCTGGAGTACCTGCTTGGACTCCGACCATGCTCTAATACAGGCACGCATTTGCCTGCGCCTCACTGGACTCAGAAAAGCCATACTAAAAAGACCCATTAGAACTGAATTGAGTAACGAGAAAACCAAAAGTCTGTTCCAGGAACAACTGAGGTCACACTTAGCTAGTTCTGAAAACGAGGCTGACCTCGGTGTTTCTTGGAAAGATATACAATCAGTTGTGAAAACGGCAGTGACATCTGTTAGCGATTTAAACCAAAGAGTTACAAAAAACCAATGGATTTCTTCTAAGTCTATTGCACTGATGAATTCTCGTAAACTCGTCCCATCAGGCTCTGAATACGATGATGAGCGAAAACAAATCAGATCTAGGTTAAGCAAAGGTATAAGGAACGACCGTGAGCAGTGGTGGGTAACGAACCCAAAAGAGATGGAAAAGACAACGGCTGTAGGTAACACCAGACAGCTTATCAGACTAATAAAATAAACCGAAAACAAATCAGATCTAGGTTAAGCAAAGGTATAAGGAACGACCGTGAGCAGTGGTGGGCAACGGAAACAAAAGAGATAGAAAAGGTGGTGGCTATAGGGAACACAAGACAGCTCTACAGACTAATAAAAGAAACTGGAATTAATAAGTCAAGTTTAAGTGAGACTATCTCGGAAATAGACGACGCTCTCATATGCTCCCAGTCCATATGTTTAAAACGATGGGCGGAACATTTTAGAGAGCAGTTCAGCTGGCCTTCAGTTACTCTACAACTACCCACCATTCCCAGATAGTGTGAATGGAACACTGGAGTAAGTCCCTTAATTGTAGCTGAAGTTCAAAAGGTTATGGTTAATCTGGAACGAGGAAGAGCAGCTGGTCCAGATGGATTGGCTTCAGAGGTCTTTAAGGATGGTGGTCCAATTCTAGCGATTAGTTTGACTAATATTTTAGCTAAAATCTGGGAGTTAGACGTAATCCCATCTGATTGGTCACAATCACTTATCGTCCCAATATATAAGAGAAGGTCAAAATCATCCTGACTAACATAGCATCTAAAATACTAGCATCAATAATTGTCGGTCGACTAACTAAGACTCGTGAACTGCAAACACACGAAAACCAGGCTGGCTTCAGACCTGGTCGTGGCTGCATCAACCACATATTCACCATTCGTCAGGTTCTAGAACACAGGCACGCTTACCGGTGTCCGCCAATGGTGGTCTTTATTGACTTAAAAACAGCATTTGACTCCGTAGACCGCGAGATTCTGTGGCAGTGTCCGTCATTGAAAGGCGTACCTCAGAAATACATAAACCTTGTGCAGGCTCTTTACTTGAACACTACTAGTCGAGTCAGAGCTTATGGCGAACTGTTATCTGCTTTTGCAACCTCAAATGGTGTCCGCAAAGGCTGTCCACTTTCTCCATTTTTGTTTAACTTGATCATAGACCTACTGATGGAAATAACGCTGTCGTTGACTGAGTTTTCGGGCATTGATCTCCTACCAAGAGGTCCACTTAACGACTTAGAATACGCAGATGATATAGTCCTGATTGGTGAAGACGCTGACAAATTGCAGAGTCTTTTGGTAGCATTAAGTAACAATGCTAGAATGTTTGGGATACGCTTTTCCTCCTCTAAATGCAAGTTGTTTTTCAGGACTGGCCTGCGTCAAAACCTGAATTAAGGATAGGGGGTGAATTAGTCGAACGCGTCGACAACTTCACTTACCTTAGAAGCCTGATCAGCAGTAATGGGTTGGTATCTGACGAAATCTCAGCACGGATTCAAAAAGCTCGTTTAGCTTTTGCCACTTTTCGTCACCTATGGCGAAGGCGAGACATCCGTCTATCAATAAAAGGACGAGTATACTGCGCGGCAGTCCGTTCTGTCCTACTTTACGGCTGCGAAACGAGGCCATTAAGAGTAGAAGATACTCGTAAGCTACTAATATTTGACCACAGATGCCTTAGAAATATTGCTGGCGTCTGCTAGGTTCACCGGATAAGTAATAGTGAGATTAGACGCAGGGTATTAGGGAATGATGGTAAATCGGTTGGTGAGGTTGTGAATCTCCATCGACTGAGATGGTTGGGCCACGTGTTACGTATGCCCGAACACCGATTACCACGACGTGCAATGCTAACCGGTGCTGGAGATGGTTGCAAGGAAGTTGTGAGCGGCCAAAGCAAAACGTGGCATCAGTGCTTGAAGTCTCTGACTTCTGGTCTGAGCCATGTTGGTAGATGCAGACTACTTGGTCGTGGTCCGCGTGACTATCGTAATCAATGGTGGAGACTGTAGGTGACATGGCTGAGAATCAATCACAATGGCGTCGGTGTATACACTCTTTGTCTTCCCTTAAACTAAGAGATTAAAATCGCTTTATATCTCTCTTTCTACGAACTAATTCTTTCTTCCTGTACTATGCCCCTATATGCAATCTGTCTTTTATATATTACCACCACTGAATTAACTAATTCTATGAATTCGGTTTTCATCTTGTTCTGCTAATGAGATATGGCGACTTGGACCGATGCATATATGTGCCTTGTCCTACGTTGTAGCTGACTGACTGACTGGATACAGCTTTTAAGATCAGTAAACTAATCAATGAAAAATTATTTATTTCCTGTTATGTTTAACGAGATTGACTACACATAGAAACTGAGATTGTTTAAATTTAAGGAGATCTACTAAAAAGTGGAGTTGTTTCTGGAAAGCAATAAAGGCATTTTTTATTAGTTTAACATCAAGAAGACTGTATACTTCAGGAACTAATGATGCTACTCGATTATCTGAACTGAATCATTCTAAACTCCATAGATCATATTGTATGGTAAAGATGTATAAAGTGAGAGGGAAATGCAACAAATGTTAGAAAGTGTAAATAGGTTGCAACTTATGAGCTTCTTTTGAAGCATCAGCGTATAAATCACACTTGTCGGGATAGGTGATTGGGGAGTTTTGACAATCTCGTTTCAGGCATCTAGTATATTATTTGTTTACATATATCTCGCGTACTACAAAGGGATTTTTTAAAGGTTATTCTAGAAAATGAGTGGTTTTTTACCAGTTACAAGACACTAGGTACTCACATCTAAGTATTTAGATAAATATCAGGAGGGGTTTTTGTGGATATAATAGTAATTTCAATAGTTGATAACATGAGTCCATTGAAGCTAGACCACTATAGAAACCAGGGTTGCCATTTCGTTCTATTATGGGAGAAAGCTCTGTGTTATTGGACGATTTAAATCACTATTACTTGAAACACAGGCATCCTTAATAACCTCTAGTATGTATCATCATCAGTAATAGATATTCGACTAAAATGTATTGGAAATAACTATCTACGTCCATATTTATTTAGGAACAATGCATTACCCATAGTTATGGGTGCCTCGATTGAGGAGTATCAGAAGGTTTCACCACCTCATTCTTTCATTCATGTGGATCAATTTGAGAATCCGAAAGAACTGGCCAAATATCTGAAGTACCTTGATAAAAATGACACTGCATACAACGAATATTTTGCTTGGCATAAAAGGGGTGTTGTAACTGTATGGTCGTTCAAGCCGGAGTGTGAATTTTGCATACTTGCAAATGCTCTTCCTTACTTCGAGCCAACTATACATGAAAACTTTATGTTTTGGTGGAAGGATGGATGTAAAAACAGAACATTAAGATGGTAAGATGGTTTCTAATATCTCATTAAACAGAAGTTTTGTTAAAGTAGTTTCTACGGTTAACAGTAAATTTAACCCATGTTTATCAGAATGACAATAAGAAAGTGAGGTAGTCAACATGAAAATTAAACGTGATTTCTTTTCAACTAGGTAAAGAAAAACCTAAGAATCACTCACTCATTTCCTAACATTTCCAAACAACATGAATAAGTACTGTCTGGAAATGATCATAGGTTATTTGTAGTGATGTTAAATTTCAAATCCTGATTTGAGACAAAAATACTTTATTACAAAAGTTTAAAAATCCCCATAGAATATTCAAAAATGAAGAATATTTGAGTGAACAATTGTTTTCAATAATTTCATCATCAGGCTCTACAGTTATAAGTCCATAGTTATAATATTTTACAAAGGCCAAAAGTAAGACATGTATTAATGAATTTGCATCTGTTACGATATAAATATACTTTAAAATTGTATTATTTGACAATTTAGAAAGGTCATTCAATAATGATCAGGATGATTTGGGGTAAAGTGTTCAGTCACCATAAGTATAATAGTATGAAAATGCAAAAAAATTGTGTGAATAAAATGCATAGTAGGAGAATCTAATCTTGTTAATTGAGATAATCTTCGTTTTCTAATATCATTATAGAAATTTATCAAAGGGACTAATTGTTTTAAATAATAAGATTGTTGTGTGAATATAATATGTAATAAGGGGGGTGTTATCAAGGTGATTACGATCAGCGAATTAGGAATGATGAATGTGAACATTAAGATAGAGATTTTTATTACGACCAAAAAATTAATTTCAAAATACAGAACTACAAATAATTTACAAGTGAAAACAATAAACCGTTTCAATGTACTTTTAAAATTAACCGCATTGAAATCTAACGTTTTCTAATTCTCATTAAGAATGACCTTTTACAAAACAACCATTTACTAAATATTCAGTGCATATTGCGGAAAATTTATTACTACTTTTATATACTGTCAAAGTCGTTTCATTAACCCATGGTTTACGGTTCGTTCGCCGTAATCAATAAATTATCATGTTGATTTCTTTTTTCCATTAACAGACCATGTGTTACAAAAAGACTTATGCACACACTTTGGGGATAATTTCATTACTATTTTGGTATTTAACATTTGATTACCGACCTAATCCAGTCATCACTTTTATCAAATATTCAAACCGGTTTTCAGTTCCTTTTTCCCAAAACTTGCTTTTTATTTGATTCATATAAGTATTCGTGGCAAAATAACTAACGACTTCAATTAAAGGTTGACATGAAATCACTTGATCGAAAAGCAAAAATTTATCCCAATACACATTCACTAACAGTAGGAGTGCACTTAAGTTGGTGTTTTTTTCTTAAAATGTCTAAATTTCTTACAAGACTAACATTACACAAAAAGAATTATTCATTATCATTAAATTTCAAATGTAAAACTGCAAATTATGACATCCAATCAAAGCACTTGATGCTATTTCGATTTCAACTAATCAGATTACAAAGATGAACAGTTTACGACTTTTGGTGGAGTTTTGTTCTCTGAGCTGGATGGTTTGGTCGTGAAGCTTTCATCGTTCTTCTGAACGACATCATCAGCACAAACTTCAGATAGAAGTGAAGTGTTTGAATTTCTCCATATGTGTCTCAAAGCTTGTTCTGTGCACCTCGACGTTGATTGGTTCTCATTGACCTTAAATTTGTCGTTGTTTACTTCTTTGTTTTGGTTATGTCTCCCATTGGTTTGATTTTTGTTCCTATATTTATGCATGATTTTCCTGATTGGTTGATAAATTGGATTGATTTCAATATGTTTGTTGATTGCTGATTGACCTGAGTGCCAAGCTTCTAAAAATTCTCTGGTGTTTTTGGAGTTTCCTCTGTCTAAGATTTCTACATTTTCCCAATCGAATGAGTGTCCGTAGTTATCCACGTGTATTGATATAAGTGAAGAGATATCATGGCGCTTGACTGCTAATTGATGTTCATGTAGGCGAAGATGAAGGGGGCGTCCACTTTGTCCGATGTAGTGTTTTTCGCAGTTGGCACAATTTATCTTGTAGATGATGTTTGATTTGTTTTCCTTTGTTATTTCATCTTTTGGTTTGCATAAGATTGATTGTAGTGATTTTGTTGGTTTGTGTGCCACACCTATCCCGAAGGTTTTCAGCAGTCTCGTTGCGGTTTCTGATATTCCTTGCATGTACGGTAGGGTGATCCTTTTGTTGATTTTTGCGCTTGACTTGAGTTCTAGTGCTGCGTGCGGTTGGTATTTTTTGATGAAGTTGATGGGGTAGCCGTTCTTCTGAAATACATCCTTTAGGTATTTCTCTTCATTTCTTCGTGCTGCCAGTGTGCTGCAGTGTGTCCTCGCCCTCTTTACGACCAATAACAAAATTATTAAAGGTGACAAAATGTTTGTTCATTTTCACTTCAGTACACACTTGCAAAACAAGTACACCAATCATCGATCAATAAATTTTTTTTCACACACTACAATCTCTAGGAGACGGGTGGTAGGGTATCTTAATTGCCGTGGGCTTAATGTCAACCTACAAACTTGGAGAACTGCCATGGTTGGATTATTGTGACAATAGTGAGAGTAATAATAATAATAATAATAATGTGATAAGATGATTCTGTATTTCTTGATGAGACGTTCAGTATTTATTACATAACAAAGGATCGATTTTCCCATGGATTTCGATTACGCATTTCATCAAACGGGAGAGTTAGGCCCTCTGTTTGAGGCTTATCTGATTAGCCCTACAAGATCGTATTGGAATGACATGCACAGATAAGACTATCATTGGTAACTTTGGGACATGTAGTGTTACACTTGATTCTTAATATGTTTAATTCAATGTATAACTCAGCACTAAATTGATGCTAATATCATATGAACCATTGGACAGGGATTCGATCAGTTTTTACTTCAATTTGTAGATTGTTAAATATGCAGAGAAATTGTTTTTACACATAAAATTTCTATCATAGAAACAATCAATTACATATCCGAACTAAACTGAAGGATTAATAGGCCAACGACCTGGTTTTGAATTATTAACTGGAAGACTTTCTAATCAACTTTCAGTGAATGAACGAGACATCTTTTATTTAAGAAAATATTTGATGGATGAATAAAGGAGATTTGCAGTTGTTTCACAACTAGGATTGTCATTTTTAAGATAATCAATCCTTATTCTCTAGATGCAGCAGCCGATGATTAACACAACAGATATTTTAGATTTAAAACAATTTATTTTATATGACTGGCTGTTGGAACTCTATAAAAAATAACTTTGAACAAGGAATTTCGTAACATGTTTACTATGTCTCATTAAGATTATTAATAATGCGAAGATAAGCATCATGTTAGTATGCTCCGTGAACTTGAAGTCAATATCTCAGGCATGATTGGTTTGTTGAACTTTACTTTTGTCTATATTTCATATCTACATCATATTCTTACATTACAGTATTTTGCCTTTTTGACAGGAATAAAGCAGTTTAATTATTTGTAAAGAAAATGAAGGAAATTTGATGATGAGTAGCCTAGAATTATTAAAGACGGTATTTGTACATATATCTCTTTCAGTTAACATTTTATTTTTCTACTTCTTCGAAGTGTAATCCATTATAAGATCACAGTAGAACGTTCTCTTTCAATCTTCATGTTTTTAAATCTGACCTTCAAGAAGCCATCGACTGCTTTATTTTGATGTATCCTGTTTTCTTACTAGCGAGCATACTTTTTCTGAATTTCTAATACTTCTAATAGTGAAATTAGTTAAATATTTAACTTTGTTCACTTCAATCACGAATGTATATATGGTAAAAAAAATTTCCTTCGCCTTTCTACGATAAATAGTTTTGAGTGATTTCGCTATAACCGAACTATGGTGTTTGAATGAACTAATGATTCCTTTGTACTTGTTTAATGCTTGATTTCGAATTCTAAATACAGTAAATTCGTTTGTGATTATCTAGTACTTCTTGATCCGATTACTTTATTTTTGGGATTCTTAGTTCATACTATAATTCAAATACTTCTAATTATCACACGAATCCGATCCTTTATGCGGATGAGATTCAACTGGTAAATGTCCTACCATATCCAGATGAACACGGTCGAAATGAGCATCGAGAGTTTTGAATGAGCCTAAGAGACATTTGTTGTGTCTAATCACCTTAGATTTCTGGCAGCTTACACAGGAGCGTGCCCACTCCCTCACGTCTTTATTCATACCAGGTCATTAAAACCGTCCTGCTATGAGCTTGATGGTTGCACGAACACCTAGGTGAGAAAGTTTGTGCAACGTATTGAAGACGTTGCGTCGATAATATTTCGGCACTATTGGATGATTCCGACCTATAGATGTGTCGCATAATAAGGTTTTTTTACCTGTCCCCATTTGTGTAATGAGTAGTTTTAAGGTTTTTGAAGATAACTCATCCTGAAGATCAGTGTCTTCTTTTTGAAGCTGAGTGAATCTAGGAAGGACCGATCTCCCAAGTTTTGGGAAATTTTGGGGTTTTGATGCCATTTTCTCAAAATTTTCTATAGCAGCTTCCCCAAAATGGGTGAAATTTCTCACAAAATTGGGAGACTGGGGGTCGATTCCTTGGAAATTGTTCAAAAAAATTATATGAGACAAGACGTCGGCAACTACATTATTTGCTCCAGACATGTGTTGTATGTCTGTAGTACACTGCGAAACGAAATCATGGTAGGTGTTACTGGTTAGAGCATTGTCAAACTCCAAATACCTGTGGCATCTTTATTGGAGAGCCCGACGTGATCTGGTACACCAACTTGAAAAATGTGAGTCTGTTCCTTTTTGTAGTTCTATATGTCATTGCTTCATTCTAATTCCTATATATTGTGATTTTCTTTCGTATATATATATATATATATATATATATATATATATATATATATATATTTCTTTTTTTTTCTCGTCCATTCTTGTACTTGATATTTCGCCATGACAAAACAGACACCTACGTTACTTAAGTTAATGACTATGACTCCACCATCATTTCAACTAATGCCCTTTTGGCCAGACAACATCGAAGCCTGGTTTTGTTATGCAGAGGTCGACTTCTACGAGCACTACGTGAACGGCACACGTGCACAATTCCTCGGAGTAGTAAAGGCACTACCATTATCGATGAAACTTTGGAAGCTTTATGCAACACTTCTTAAGCCGAAAAGCATGCAAAAATATCGTAGAGACCTAAATAAGTAATAATAGTGGTTTTAGGAATGGCGTCAGTGTCCATAGGAATTCGGTTATAGTCTTTGACCAAGTCGGTTTTCGAAAAGACAGTTGTACCATTCAAGATAGCTGTCAAGTCGTGAATTTGAGGCGATCGATCATGAACGATCGTGACGGTAACGACCGTGAATGGGTTTTGCATTCAATCACCGATGGTCACCAGTTGGACGCCAATCGTTGCTGTCCTTTTTAGGGACCATGTGTAACGGAGATGTCCATGGGCTGCTTGGCGGCCGAATGATTCCTAACTCTATCATGTGGTCGAATTCGTTTTTGGTCAACGTCGGGAGCCAGTAGGCGCGCTTTCGAGAATACAGGAGGTCCTGTAGTAGTGATGTGATGTACAACATTGCTGGTTACACACGGCAATTTCGGTTGCGGTTGGTATATCCCAGTATACTTGTCGAGTAATTGTTGATAGAAGGAATCTATCGTCTGCCTGACTGTGACTGGAGATAATTTGCAACCGGGAAAAGAAGTTACTCAAATAGATAAACTAGTGTTTCCTTCTACTAGCCTCCGTTTGCGCGTATCAATAAGTTGATTGTGATGCTGTAGCAGGCCTATACTAATTGGCATAGAAATATCTTCAATTGACAAATAATTCCCATTTAAACATTAAAATTAAAACACGAATTTCAGCGAAGGGATCTCTTTTCAACGAATTTATTACCAAGCTGTACAATCGTATATATATGAAAATTTTGTTTTTGTAAAAGTACTAATTCCGTGAGGAAATGTGAACACAGTTAATAAAAAGGTTATAATACTAGATTACGTAATATGAATAATAACAATGTGTGACTACCGAAAATACATAAGCCGGGTTTACCGTTACGACCTATTTTGGACATGTCAAGTTCACCATACCACAGAATCGCCAAATGTTTAGCGGAAAAATTGGAACCGGTTAGAAGGCAAGTATGTAAACATTCTATTCATGATACTTTTCAATTTATTGATCGTATTAAGGACGTTAATACTTCCGAAAAACACATGTTCTCGCTTGATGTTAATTCTTTGTTCACTAACGTACCTTTAACCGAAACAATATGTTATATATGCGAGTATATTGATTCTAACAATATAGATCTAGGTTTGCCAACTGAACACTTGAAAGAACTATTGTTAAGCTGTACTTTTAATGTCCAGTTCAGTTTCAATAATGAAATATATAGACAAAGGGATGGGATCGCAATGGGGTCTCCATTGGGTCCAATTTTAGCAGACCGTTTCATGGCAAAAGTAGAAAACGACCAACTCCGTTCAATGATCAATCGATTCCACCTATACGTGAGATACATGGATGACACGTTTGTTGTTTGTGACAATAATATTTATTTAGATGATATTCTACACACCTTTAACTCGTGCCACTCTTCCATAGACTTCACGTTAGAAAGGGAACGAGACCAATCAATTCCTTTTCTCGATGTACGTCTGATGAGAAAGAGTAATGGTTCTTTAAAAAGATCCATCTTTAGAAAACAAACATGGAATGGCCAGCTAACCAACTTCTATAGCTGGGTTCCGTTAAGTAGGAAGAGAAACCTTATCCATTCTTTATGCTATCGCATACATCACATATGCAGTACGGAATACATTAACGAAGAACTCGCATTCCTTAAGAAGACTTTGACGGAAAATGGTTACCCAGAACGGTTCATAGAAAAGAATATGAATAAAAGTAGTCGCGAGAAGAATTCTAGTTGTTCCGTTCCAAAGAAAAACCTTTATATAAGTCTGGAATTTAAAGGTGACCGAACATCGGACGTAATCAAAAATCGTCTAACAACAACTATTAGAAGAACATTTAACGCGGCAAAACTGCGAATATCCTTCACTAGTAGAAACTTATTTTCTGTATCCATAAAAGATAAGCTTCCGCGTCTGGTCGCCTCCATGTGCATCTACCAGTTCACCTGCTCTTGTGGAGCAAGGTACATTGGCCGCAGCCAGCGCTCGCTTTCAACTCGGATACGAGAACATATCCCAGCCTGGTTCTATAAGGGTGAAAGGAAAGCAGTTAGGAGTTCCATACTTGAACACCTAATCGACTATAACCATTCAACAGATCCACAAATTGACTTTAAGGTTGTTTATATGATTCGTTCAAATCTACCCAGATTTCTTCGTATGCAACTTTTAAAAATAGCCGAAGCTCTTGCCATCCAGGAGCCTAAACCAGAACTATGCGTATAAAAGAAGTACGTCTTATCGTTATCGTTACCTTGGCCTTAATTAGTTTGATTATCCTACTATTAATATTATTATTATTATTATTATTATTATTATTATTATTATTATTATTATTATTACTGCATTCCCCCTTTACTTATGTCTTATATTCTCATTGTTTTATTCGTAAATGCTCATCATATCACCTTATTTATTTTTTACATCTCTATGACCTTTAATTATTATGACGAAAGCATTGTAATCATCTTATTATATTCACTAAATCTATTGTTATTATTCATATTACGTAATCTAGTATTATAACCTTTTTATTAACTGTGTTCACATTTCCTCACGGAATTAGTACTTTTACAAAAACAAAATTTTCATATATATACGATTGTACAGCTTGGTAATAAATTCGTTGAAAAGAGATCCCTTCGCTGAAATTCGTATTTTAATAGAAATATCTGCAAAAACGAAAATCCGCTTGGTGGGTTCGCGTAAACCCACGTTAAGGTAAACTTACCTTTTACCATATGTAGGTACAGAGTTTCCGATTGCCACCTGTAAGTTTAAAACCGGTTCGTGAAACCGACGGTTAGAATTTCCCGGAAGAACACTAACTTCTGCGTCAGTATTGACGAGGTAGCGAACTTTCATTATCACATCAGTGACATAACAGACGTGTGTGTTTGCCGGCTACGGTTGCCGTTAACACGTGCAGGCAGGGAAATTTCCCGAGATATTTTTCATGTCGGTTGGTTTCGAGTTCAGAAAATTGCAAGTTTTTCTGAATAAATAACCTGAAGATTATTTATTTGGAGTGGATCAACGAACCAATGTTATGAATTTGAAAATACACTTCAAAACATTTGCCTATAGGAGATCCGAGAAAATAATATTTAACCAAATCACTGGTCCGTGTGAACAATTTATCTGTGAAATGACTGAATATATTTTAGCTATCAGTTCTTGCTTCCAACTGATTACTTAGTTTAGATAAATAGACGTACTTATAAGTAAATAAATGATATCACGAGTGTGTAATGTAAACTAATGAAGTTTACGTAGATGTTATTATAAATATATTTTCTGTACTATTCGAACTAATTAGTATTGATTAGTATGTTGAAATGTTTGTGAAAAAAATTAGAAAACATACAGATTTACATGTGAATATTTGTCTGGATCATCTCAGGAAAATTAAAATATACTGAGTTTTTTAATATTATGAACCTGTAGTAACACGACATCACGGTATCGCTTAATGACACGACTATCTTTTCGAAGATCGATCTGGTACGAGCATATCATCAGATCCCAGTCGCTCTTGAAGATATCGAAAAACCCGCTATCACGACTCCGTTTGGTCTGTTTGAGTTCCATTTAGATTACGGAATTCTGCTCAAACTTTCCAAAGGTTTATCGACAGAC